CAAATTTGAAATAAAAATAGAGAACAGAAAATAAAAAAAAGTAAAAAAAGAATTAAAATTAGTGGGCGAACATGATTTGACACCGCCATCTTTGGCGATTGTTCATTTTTTTTACCCTTGGCAAAATGACTCCAAAATTTACAGACATGTAGCCCACATCATATAGAACTCACAAAAAAAAATCAGAAAAAAAAAAAAATTTAGGCATCGAAAATATTTTTTGAAAAAAATAATAATAAAAAAAGAATTGAACGTCGTTCAATTTTTGAACGCGAACGCGCAATCTGCATTCAAACGCACATTTGAACGTGAACCCGCGTTCACCGCGTTCAAACGGTTACATAGTGATCAATCAATCGATCAATCAATCAATCAATCAATCAATCAATCAATCAATCAATCAATTGATCAATCAATCAATCAGTCAATCAATCAATCAATCCATCAATCAATCAATCAATCGATCAATCAATCAATCAATCAATCAATCAATCAATCAATCAATCAATCGATCAATTGATCAATCAATCAATTAATCAATCAATCAGAGCGCCCACACAAAGATTTGAGCCAACCAATCAATCAATCAACCAATCAATCAATCAACCAATCAATCAATCAATCAATCGATCAACCAATCAATCGATCAATCGATCAATTGATCAATCGATCAATCGATCAATCGATCGGTCAACCAATCAATCAATCAATCAATCAATCAATCAATCAATCAATCAATCAATCGACCGAAGATCCCATCGAATCCATTGATTCGATAGCATGTTGATATCTCAAGATCCTACCGAATCAATCGATTCGATGAGATCTTCGATCAATCGATTGATCGATTGATCAATCGATCGATTGAGAAGGGATCGGGGTCAGGATAGGGGAAAAAAAAAAACACAAAAGGGGTCTGGACACAACCCGACACAGAAATGCTATCCGACGGCGGGCACGTTGAGATATTTTTTCCCATCGACGTTCGCCGTGTACCAGGCCCCGTGGGCGTGCTCTCTCGTTTAGTGGTGCACTGCAAACAATTCGGTATGCGCGCCACTCTGCACGCCCACCCGCCCTCGATCGCCTTCATCCGCCGGCCCTCACCGGGTATGCGTGCCACTCTGCACGCCCACCCGCCCTCGATCGCCTTCATCTGCCGGGCCTCACCGAAACTTCGACCCGGTTCCGGCGCGCAGTGGACCATCGACATCCCCCCTGCGACCAATGTTGCTTAAGGGTTAGGATATAGGATATATATATATATATATATATATATATATATATGTATACTGGGGGTTTTGTCATTTTGTACAGGACCGTTCATACGGCCGTACTTCAAGAGCCCCGTACAACGTACGACGTGTTACACATGCCTCAATGGTTATCTCATCGACGAGTTGGGTTTTTCAAATCTGTGCATGGGTTTAAACCCCAACTACAACAGTCAACAACAAACCGAGCGGGCGGGCAGGTGGATGTGTGCAGGTACATGCATGCATGTGTGTGTTGTGTGTGTGGGGTGGGTTCATGCATGTGTGTGTGTGGGGTGGGTTCATGCATGTGTGTGTGTGGAGGCGGGCGGGAACAACCGCACTTTTCTTTTTTTTTAAGTGAGTGAGACGACCGCGGGCACGAAAATGAAAGCCACGCAAAAAGCAAAAGGAACAAAAACGAAAGGAAAAAGAAGGCCAACCGAGATGACCGCAGCCACAAAAACAACTGTCGTGCAAGGAAAAGGAAACGTCGTGCAAGAGAACGAAAAAAAAAAACAAGCAAACCGACACCCAAGTAACAAAAGCAAAAGGAAAAAAGAGGTTGTCCGCTTATCGGAAGGATCACTTCATCAACTCCGCCCCTGGTCCGCGCACCCACATTTGGTGGGACGCTGTGAACATTTTGGTACGCGTGCCCCTCTGCACACTCCCGCGCTCTCAATCTCCTTCATCTGCCGACCCTCATCGAAACTTCGACCCAAATCCGGCGAGCATCACTTCATGGACTTTCCCCCGTGGCCAATGCTGGTAGGCTGACAATGTTAGACACCACTGCAATCTACAGAGGAAACAATAGAAAACATAAAACTTTTGGATCACCTGCCACCAACACCACCTCCAGCTGGTAGGCTGACAATGCTAGACACCACTGCAATCTACAGATTTTGCAGAGGGCAGTTTTTACATGTTGAGCCTACACACGGGCCCCGTTTCGGTGGCCTGATGGTTGTTGGGGGTCCCCAGGCCGCACCCCATTCAGGCATTCTTCCTGGAGGCCCACGAACAGCTTTAGGGGCATTCTGATTCGAGCTTAGGACCTGTTGGGTCTTAATATGACCGTGCTTCTTGTGATCTTTAGTTCTATGTGTGGTCCAGACAGACCGGTTTTTGGATTTAGAGGCGCTTTGAACTCGGGACCTGTCGACTTTGACTGCTGACTACTTCTTGGTTCGTCTTAGAAGTTCCCGAAGTATCTCCTTGGGGTGTACCGTTTCCGGTGACTTCGTAAGGTTGACGGTTTGCCTGGTCCTACGGCTAATTCTATTGTAGGATGAGCTTGAAGATATAAGTAGTTTTGTAACAGACCTCTCAGTCCATCTTGCGCTAGGTATCCGTTGACCCCTGATGAAGCCGGACATGCGACCGACAAAAACACGATGTAGGGTCTTGTCGCCTGAATTGCATCTGTGTTACTATGTTTATCTCTCGATGCATACCTGCGCTCGGCTCTAAGTCTCTCTCTCCTGTGTGGTGTGCCATGAGTACGCTACACTTTTGTGTGATTTGACACATGTGTACCTCACCTTGATTGGTGTTTGCAACATTAGTTCACGCATGAACCAGCGCAGCAATTACACTACGATTGTGTGAATGCGTCTTTCCACTAACACTTACCTTATCATCTTCTACTTACCTTTCACTTACTACTTCTTACGTCTACTATCTCGTCCGGTTTCATATTAGCCTTCTTAATCCTTTTCTCGTGTTAGGGTTTACTATTTTGTTTCCTTCCTCGATTCATAGATCGACCAATGTGTAATTACTGTCGAAGACCTGGTCACTTCGTTCGTGAGTGTCAGACACGTATGCGGGATATGGAGCAACAAGCAAACCAGTTTAATCGAGCTAACCAGGCGTTGTCATCTAACTTGGCTCTGATCTTGCAGGCTCCAAGTGCCATTGTCCCTTATCAGGAGCTGTCGCAGGACGTACGTGTTAATCAAGGAATTGGCGGGCAAGCTGGCGGTTACGATGGAGGCTTCAATAGTGGCGGATCTTCGGGCGGCTACAACGGTGGTTACAACGAAGGGTATAATGGGAGAAGATCGTGGAATTCCGACTATAGACATGATAAAGTTGATCGGATGTGGACATGGATGTCCGCTGAGATGGCAGAACGAAAAAGTATCAAGAAGGAAAAGGAGGGGGCCGCTAGGAGAGAAGAAGAGTTGAGGATGAAAAATGAGGCGGAGGAAAAGAAATGTAAGAAGGAGAAGGACAAAGAAGGGTTCAAGACAAGTATTGGGTGTATGGTCGGTAGTCAGATGAAGTGGGTATGTGAGGAGGTCTTGGGCAAACAAGTCGAAATCAGGGAACCTTTCGTTATATCGACGACGGAAGACGGAAGAAGAAGGACGAGCAATCATTCCAAGAAAGATTTAGAGGACGATGCCAGCAAAAGGAAGGACGAGGAAATCCAGAAGTTGAATTAAGCGATGGTGGACTTGTAACGGAAAGCTAATCGAACCAGCAGTACGGATCACGAGCTAAAGTCCTTGCGATCTAGCAATCAACATCTGATTGAAGACGTGATGTACCTAAAACAACAATTTGATGAGCTGAAGAAAGGTACGACCCATTCTGGGGTAGAAGCCTCGAAGAGGAATGCGCCGACTAGCAGGACAAATGCGGCAAGCACCCGTGTACCTACACCAGGAGACTACGTGAAATTGTCGGAAGCCTACAGGCGACTCAAAGACAATAAAGACATGGTTGAACGGGAAGTACAAGCTCTGAAAGAGAGGATCGGACGGATCAGCGCGGCTACTACTTCATCCCCGATTAGTACGAAATGCAAGTGTATCGCACAAAAAAGTGGATCGCCGTCGAACTTGAGGATTCGATTAGCGAAGAATGCCGGCCAAAAAAATCGTTGGAAGTAAATGCGAATACACATGCACATGCCGGATTCGTTAAACAACAAAATGCGAATTCATTGGTGTGTCAAGTTTATTCCATTTATCCGCTATTTATTGTCTGTAGACTACAATTTTATTTCTTGCCCTGGTCCTCTAGTGTACATACTGGTATCACCTTGGTGCAAACATGTCTACGTAGGATGCACGTCTAGATCGGCTCTGTGCAGATGGAAGGAACACGTTGGGAGAGCCAATGCATCACTGAATGTTGGCATTCGTAATCATAGATTATACCGATGGCTTAGACATTGTCAGATTGGAGGGTACGTAGCAGTTCCTATTGCACGCACTAGCACTGATCAGCTATTACAAACCGAAGCGTATTTTTCATTCGACGGTTTTATCCATTCCTGAATTCTATTTCCACTCATGGGAGACGAAAAGAAAGGAGGAAACCACGTCCTGGGAAAAGAGAACGAAGGTGTAAGAAAGAAGGAGGTTGTGATGATTACGATGGCACTGTCGCGATCAAGGCTCCGTGCATGTTTGAGTCGTCTATTGGGGTAAGCTCTACTAATATTCAAGAAATACAAGATGAGTGCTTCCGTCGGCATGCTCGAACAGTCTTGGTGTTTGTTGATCAATATCGGAGCTTAGTTTTCTCTTTGTGAAAATCTCACGTTTTTGCTCCAAGTTTGAAAAACGGAAGGGGGAACTGACTGAAATCCTGGCTATTCCCTCGAAGTGCGAGAGATTGTACCATGAGCCGTTCGATAGACTTTTAATGTTGTATAACTGCGTTCGGTGTTTTTCAAGAAAAGAAAGTAGGGCGAACTTACGAGCAACTATAGCTCGGGTTGTTAAAAATTGTTTTTTTGTCAAACATAGAATTAGAGTTACTTTGAAGTTACCTTTTGATTCCTGTCTTTCAAAGAAACCTGTTAGGAACCTTTGTCTATCCATTATTCGTGCTTCTTCGATCAATCCTTCTCTGCAGAAGACCGTATGTAGGAAACAGAGGATTGTCTGGGTAAAGAACAAGTCTGTCGGCGATTTTTTGTTGAATTTTAGGGAGTTTTCGAGACAGTCTTATTTTGCTTGCTCATGTGGAGGGCTTGATCTTCCGAGATGCGGTGAACATGTAGCGTTTAGATTTAGCGAAACACGATGGATTCCAAGTATTGCACGTAACAATAGGAATATCCTATCTCCCGTTTTTTGACATAATTTGCAACACCTGAGGAAGTATATTCTTGATGGATTGGGCAATATTCAGGAAGGTATGAATGTTTTTTCGATCTCGAATTATCAGTTACGTAGTTGTTTTAACAACAATAGGGGTTTGTATCTTTCAGATAATGGTGTGGTTGAAGTGCGGGCGGTTAAACAACGCTTGGATCAGTTGGTGGTGTGCCCAGTTGATCACAATACTGGAGCTAGTTTCGCTTGCGGCCCTGTAGTGTTTCAGAAGGGGATGGAATCCCTTTTCACAAAAATGAAGGTTTTGAGTGTGCACCACAGTCATCAAGGAGATAAACAATGCTTATCGGAAACTAGGAATTGATAGAATCGCTACGTTTAATGGACAAGGTATTCTGCGGAAATCATATGCGATGCCGAAACATAAGAATGTTAAAAAATTGTGACCTATCTAGCCCTCTTTCTCTGACCCATTAGTGCGAGTTTGCTATGTAAAAGCGATTTCGTTAAAACGGACATTTTATGTTTTTTGAACGAAATTGAAACCTGTTTATTTGACCCATAAGATATCACCGTTTATCTCTTGAGAGTCCATTTGGACTCAACTGAAGTTCACGTACATCCAAGGGGGACCCTAAGGAGCTAAAAATATACATTTCCAGGGTCAAATAAGTGAAATTCAATTTCGTTCAAAAAATATAAAATGTTCGTTTTAAAGAAATCGCTGTTGTGTAGTGTCTAAAGCGGTGAATCAGCTATTATGGACTCTCCCTGTCGACTCTCATTTCAATCTTTGATGTCCCAATGATATGATGGGGAGACTTGAGGCTTTTAATTTGAGCCTTCAGCCGGATGAACAAGTTCTTGCCTCCAACTTTGACATGAAGGAAATGTTTACTGCACTTCCTTATGCCTCGATTATTAGAGTTGTTGAATGGTTGATACGCAATTATGAAGAGAAAGGTTTTAATGATATCTTTGTCAAAAAGAGGGGAAAAGGAGCTTTGCTTGGTAAATGGAAGAGCGCCCCTACAGACTATTTTCGTCTACGTTTTAACGTGCTGTTGAACTTAGTAGTTCTTGACCTTGGGAATACGTATTTGTCTGCAATGAGAGTAATATTGAAACAGATCATCGGTATCCCGATGGGAAAGCCATCAAGTCCGGCCTTAGCTTGCCTTTTATGTGCCTTCAACGAATTTGATTTCCTTAAACAATTGGGTAATGAATGGAAGATGCTCTTTGGGATAAGACTAGTTGATGACGTCTCAATTTTGTCAAGTATCAGATTGCTTCTAATTACAGCATAGCCGTTGCAAAGAATCGACTGAAAATGTTCGAAACTTGTTACGATGACAATTTGGTGTTGGAGATGACAAGTTGTGGGGACACATGGGACTTTTTGGGATGTGTTATCAAGGTCTTCATCAACCATGCAAGGTGCTCGCTGCGACCATTCATAAGAATGAACATTTCATCATTGAAGAGGGGATTTGGTTTCAGTCTCTACAGGATTTTGGCTCGTACTCTGACAAGCAACGGAAAATGTCAGTTATTACTGCATGTCTTCATCGGGCTAAAGCATTGACAACGATACCAGGTGCTGATGCGTGTTTCCTATTTACTCAGAAGATGGAGTTGCAGGCAAGGAATTTCCCCGATGTATATTTTGATAACTGTCTGATAAACTTTTCCTCTAGGATGAGCGACTGTTGGAGTCACTGGGTGCGATGTTTCACCCATTGGCACTTCCTCTCGTAACCTTGTTCGGTGTTCTTTCTGATCTCTTTGTTGTTAACTTCTGCTTCCTAATCTAACGGTGGGCTGTTTCGCTGGTGGGCGTTCTGCTACTTGAAGGACCTTGAATTTCTAACCGGTTTTTGATATCTTTGCATAGTGGGCATTCTGATTCGAACCTAGGACCTGCTGGGTCCTAATATGACTATGCTTCTTGTGATCTCTGGTTCGCTGTGTGGTCCACACAGACCGGTTTTTGGATTTAGAGGCGCTTCGAACTTGGGACCTGTCGACTTTGACTGCTGACTACTTCTTGGTTCGTCTTAGAAGTTCCCGAAGTATCTGCTTGGGGTGTACCGTTTCCGGTGACTTCGTAAGGTTGACGGTTTGCCTGGTCCTAGGGCTAGTTCTATTGTAGGATGAGCTTGAAGATATAAGTAGTTTTGTAACAGACATCTCAACTCATCTTGCACTAGGTATCAGTTGACCCCTGATGAAGCCGGACAGGCGACCGGCAGAAACACGATGTAGGGTCTTGTCGCATGAGTTGCGTTTGTGTTACTATGTTTATCTCTCGACTTATACCTGCGCTTGGTTCTAAGTCTCTCTCTCCTGTGTGGTGTGCCATGAGTATGCTACACTTTTGTGTGATTTGACACATATGAGTACCTCACCTTGACTGATGTTTGTAACAACTTTAGGGCTGTAGGATTCGATTTGAGGCAGCATTTATTTATTTATTTGCTGTCCTATTTTTGTCTGTTCAAGCATCATTTCAGACTAGCAGTTCGTCCTAACAGACTTTCTGTCTGTTCGGACAAAGGCCACGTTTTGGGCCTTCTTCGTTCGCAGTCAGGCCCTTTTGGGTCAGGTTCGTGTTCGTTCAGTAGTGGACACTCCCTGCTGCATCAGCAGGGAGGGCCTGGACGTTCAGTAGGGACCCAGGTAGGTCGTTTCAGGTCAGGACCAGAGGCACACCAGCGAGGCCCAGCGCTACATATAGCTGGGCCAGGCCAGGCCAGGGCAGACAGTTCGAGTAGCTCACTTCTTGGGTGACACGCTGTTGGAGCCACGCGATACAGCGTTATGCTAGGAGGTAGAGGTGTAGATATGGAGAAGGGTGGAGGCCATACCTGCGATGGCGAGACCCTGGATGCCATATCTACGCTCCATGCCAGTGAACTGGAACACAGCAGCGTTGACGACCGTACCTGCAGGTGAGACCGTGAGGAGGACGACATCTTCTTCTTCTTCATCCGTCCCTCCTTCTTCCTCGTCCTTCTTCTTCTTCTTCTTTCACAGAGGGAGAGAGAGAGAGAGAGAGAGAGAGAGAGAGAGAGAGAGAGAGAGAGAGAGA